TTTTCCAACCTAATCGATTCTATGATTCTGTGGTCACAACTGAAAAGTATGTTGGTACTAATTGCATTTGGTGTTAGTGGAAACTTTAACACTCTGGTATTTATAATTTAAAAAGCAGTATGAGGAAGAGGCAGCATCTTGCCTGAATCCTTCATGACATTTTTAACAGCACAGATTTTCAAACTGATTTGTTTATCACTAGATGGTGCTGTTGCCTTGAGAGAAAAAAAAAGTTCCAATATAATTGACTCTTCCCCTCCTTTTTCTGCGCGATGAATTCAGTAAAATAGAGGCTGAAGATTTAATTCTTTTTTTCTTACATTGAAAAGATAGGTAATTCAAGGTGATTATACTGTTGTATAGTTTTCTTTTTGTAGTTGGTTTTTTTTTTCAAAATTAATAAGTCTGGTCTTAGCATGGCAATAGCAAATTTGAAATAGAAGTGTGGTCTATTGATACCACTTTCAAGTTTGAGGTAGGGTAATCTGGATATGATTTTTATGCCTGATGGTGTGAAATGAATGTAATGCTCGTTGAATCCACTAAAAGCACGATTATTGAATTTGGTTGTATTGTCTTCTGATAAGCATTTGAGCAGTCACAGAAAAATACTTTGAATCTTATCTGTATTAGCCATATTTCAGTTGCATTAAGTTAGTGCTCTTGAGTTGGGATAAACTGAAGTATTCCATACTCTTGTTCCTTCTAATTTGCAGGAAGAATGTAATAAATTACTTTTTAGGCTTATGTGCCTTACGTGATCTGGGCTGCCTTGATGGGAAGGGAAATAACTCTTTAATGTTACTAATGAATGTAGAAGGATCCAAAAACGCACTTGTGAAACTAAAGCATGTTTGTTAAAACTACTTGCAAATGATTATGCCCTTTTCTTTTCTTGTCTAGGTGTCCATTGCACACATGGTTTCAATAGAACTGGATTTCTGATCTGTGCCTTTTTGGTCGAGAAGTTGGACTGGAGGTAACTTTGAATCTTAATTCCTAGGGATTTGTGGAGAATGACCAAAGGCATCTTCCGTATCTTCACTCATTGTCCTGATGGCTATCCTAATGTATTCACTGTTTGTTATTTTAAAACTGCCTACTAATCTTGAACGAACAACCTATATTAACATTATTCATATCATCCCGGTGTAGCTTAGCATGTTTCAGTCAAGCTTTCCAGGTCTGGTAGGTCAAAAGTCAGCTGTACCTGCTGTGTGTGGGCTTTTAGGAGTGTATGTATCGGTATCGTGTCTCTTCCTTGTGACGTGTCCCACATGTTGAGTAAGAATGTAGAGTTCAGAGATGCCTGAAAAATTGTTTCTCTTACTTTTTAATCTTTTTCGTGTAGATTTGCATGTAGATGTTTTTTGGGTTTTTTTGAGTTCTGGAGATTAGCTAGAGAAACAGCAGAGTGACATACTTGCTTCTGAAGGGTCGGGGGAGACGAAGTCCTTGTTTCCAGCTTGTTGTTTGACTAAAGTCTGCAGCATGCTTCTAAACAAACTCACCTATTTTTTGTGATCTAGAAATGTTGGTGCCTTCATAAAGAGAAGTGAACACTTTCAAATGATATTAGTGTTAAAAAAAAAAAAAATTAAAATTTGCCTGTACTGTGATGGTGGGCATGACTTTTGCATGTTTGGTAGTATTCACGAAACACTTTTTCCTTTCTGACGAGGTCTCATGCAAGGCACGTTTCTTATCGTTAGGATGCTTAAGGGGCTTGTTATTTCTTGTATGGTCCTTTAAGTGAAGAAAATTCTGCTCCTGTTGCAGCATTTTCTTATGACTGGACGTAGAGTTATTTGGTGCTTAGCAGGTACGTGCAAGCTGTTTGCAAAGAACTAGGTCATTGTTGTCTGTTAGTAAACTTAGAACAAAGACACTGGAGTAATGGAGACAGAACACCATTAGTGGTGAATCTTGGCAGAATCTTGGCAGAATCTTAGCTGAGTATAGGAAGTAGACACAGATACAAATACCTTTATAGTATGGTTCTAGTTGTTCCTATGAAGTAGCAAATTTGTATGCTTTTAATCTAGCAATCTAAAAGCAGCATGCAATAATTGGACTCAGAATTGGTCCTTTGTTCTGAAGAGCAAATGCATTTGAATCTATTTGAATCTCCTGCTTTTATGCAGCCTGTCTATTTGGGAAAAGCCTTAAAACTTAACAGCCATGTCTCTTTTTTTTTTTGTTTCATGCAGGTAGTTAATTATGTCAAGTTTGTGCATCTCTCAGATTTTTTTTTTTTTAAAAAACCCGGATATCACCTGGTAGGGAAATATGTCCACAGCAAAAGAGTGAATTTCTGCAAGGTGGTAGTTAATGCTTGAGCATTCTATCAAGATAAATCTAATTTGCTGCATCACTCTTTAAAATAAGGCACTGTTATTTGCTGATGAGGAAATAAGATTTTCCTGATGGGAAAAATCCATCCATATTCATTCTATAAGCATATGATATAGGAGTGCTGCTGATGTATTGTGAATACTGAGATGTATTTTATAGTTAGTTTAAATAAAGGTCATCCAGAGTGAAAGCTCTCCAGCTAGTGATCAGAAACCTTACTTGATTCTATTTTTCAGAACTTATTTTTCCTAAAGACTGCTGTGTTTCCAGAACTTGCAAAATATGTTTTCTTTCAGCTAGGTTTCTGTGCTTGAAATCTGTGCTGCCTCTTTCGGCTTTCATTGCCATCTTTTCCAGAATAGTATAGAGTTCTTCTAATGTCGTCAGAGACAAATGTAAATGTCTTTCAGGCCTCATCCCTTTTGGTTTGGTTTGTCCTTTCAATGGTATTGATTACAGAAGATATGAAACAATTTAAGACAATACCAAAATAAAAAATGTCTTTTGACGAAGAAATTGGGAGTCTTAGGTAACAGATTGAGGAAGAAAGCTCCTCCTAAATAACTCAGATTCTCACACTGTCATTTCTGAGATCTGATGACCAACCATCTGATAGTCTCATTCTGGAAAATGTTCTGTTTTCTTCTCTTACCAAAGATCAGAAGAGAGAACCAAACTTACTGGTTCTTAGGAAGGGTTTCTGTCTATTCTGGGAAATTTGCCCTAAAGTTTTCAGGCTCCTTGCCATAGTGTACAGATGAGACAAAAAAAAAGCCTTTTGTATTTAAATTCTTTTTTCCATTTTAGCTATGTTTTCCTTGTTCCAGTGGCAGGCTATTTTTTTAATCTGAAAAAAATCCTTTTCACAACATGTAATGTGTGTTCTTGTTCCAGCTTTAAGATGTGTGCTGTCAAGATACCTAACAGAGGCATGTACCTTTTGTGATCTCTTCTCTCTTTTATTTAGCAAGATTTCTAGATGTTGATCCATGGAGCATTACTGCTCCATGCAGCCAGGATAAATTGAAGACAGAATTACGTCCAGTGTTTTCTGTTAAACATTTTCATAGGATCTATGGAAATAGCAACAGTAAAACCCTTGTGCTGTGCTTGCTGTTGAATATTTTGGAGTACTTTCCAGTTGACTAGTAAAGGTGTATGATTGTTAGTTTTGATTTCTAATTTTTTTGTGATCCAGTCTCCAGTTTATTAAAGCACTTAAGATTAAGTGTTAGCTGCATAATATAAGGCTTCTGAATTACAGTTTTTTTGTGCGAAACCTCTGGAAGGAGAAGTAATTTCAAAAGATTAAGATGTTGCTTCTCCAGTGTGAAAGCAAAACCTCTGATGAAAGGAAAGATAAATCTTAGGGGGGAAAATGTAGCCATATTTGAATTTCAACACCAACATTTTTCTTCGTTAAGTTTGTTCATCTTTTTCTTTAATCTTTTTTGTCTTCATTCAGTCCTTGGATACTTACCTATGTGTCACCCATTCCTTTTCTGTAGCAATAATAAAAGTTTTACCTAGGTGACCAGCAACCACTATTAGCTGCAATAAGGAGATGAAGCAGTGGAGGCTGCAGTTACTTTTGAGAACATATGCAGTACCTACATAATTATGCAGAATCTTGTGCAAGAGCAACTGTTGCCAGGCTGATCTAAGCATGATGTTTCAAATATAATGAATGTTTTTGCAATTACCAGTTTGGAATTTGTTTTAAATCTCAGTCTCAATAAATCTTAACGTTTGGTAAGGCATAACATGACTAAAACATGTAAATTAGGCATCCAGAGTAATTTTTGATTTTTATTTGACAGTATTGAGGCTGCTGTGGCTACTTTTGCTCAGGCTAGACCACCAGGTATTTATAAAGGTGACTATTTGAAGGAATTATTTCGTCGTTATGGCGATGAAGATGATGCACCGTCACCACCTGAGCTACCAGAATGGTGCTTTGATGAAGATGAAGAGGAGGAGGATGATAATGGTAAAACTGGAGGCCAAGAATCAGAAGCTGGATCATCAAGCTCTTCCTTTGGCAAGAGGAGAAAAGAACGCCTAAAGCTGGTATTTTTGATTAAGAACTTAATATTCTAATCACTAAACTTAATTTCAGACACTCATAGTCCTCTGTTACTGCATAATACATACTATACAAGTGTCAGTGCTCTTGCAAATGAGGACTGGTAGTATTGTCTCTAACCAGGAAAAACTGGAAGATTCATTGCAAGCTTTCTTATGTTTCCTGTATGAACCTTGAACTTTAACATTCAACACCCCAACTATTCCAGTTAGAAAAATTTTAAGTCCTTTTTATAATATAACAATTTTTTTTTAAAGTTTGAGTAAAAAGGACTTAAAATTTTTCTAATATAACAATTTTTTTTTAAAGTTTGAGTTAAGATAGTAAAGCACTTCTTAATTATTCACCCTGTCTTTAGAGGTGAAATGTTATGGGAGGTGTGCGTAAACAGTTTTTGCCTTTTTTTTTTTTTTTTTCTGGTAGCCATGTATTTGGATGAAATTCAGATTTTTTTAAATTCAGTTCTCATTTTGGTAAATATTTTTACTTTTGGAAGTTTTGGAGGATTGAGGATTGGATTAGTAAAAAGCAATATGAGCTTAAAAATCCCAGGGCATCTTTGAAATTATATTTTGTTCAAAGCTGTTTTAACTGTATAATGATAAGAAATATGGCTAGTCACTTGTTGTGATTATTTTGACATATATCTCTGTAATTCTGATGAAATAAGTTACTGTAGTTACCATAGTATGGAACTAATACTCAAGTGCAAAGAATATACCTATATCTTCTGAAGACTAATGGCTCAGTTCTCTCCAAATTCCTGACACTTTTTTTTTATTTGTAGTAGGGGAGAATGTTGCTGAGTGCAAAAATAGATTCAATTCTTTTTGCATAATACTGAATTATTTTACTTGGGTGCTGAGGTGTGTTCGTTTGCAAACACTTGGAAATCCTCACATGAAATATGCTGCAAAAATACATTTTGTTGTTACTGCAGCTGCTCAACATGGTTTACAGATGGAGTATGGAAGAAATTAACCTGAAAGGAATACAAAATCTAGTCCAAAGAAACAAGATGAACTTTGAAAACTTTCAAATAGTCCATCAGCTGGAATAAAAGATTGCCCATACTGTAAAAATCCATAGTAAAAACATATTCAGGGATATGGCCACCACCTCCGTTAGCCTTGCAGTAAAACATTGATATCTACAAAAATTGATTTGGGCTGGAACCTCAAAACGTGGTTTGTTTGGTTTTTTTTTTTTTTTTTTTTTTTACTTGCCTTTTGATGCATTAGTAAATGAGGTGTGATGGTGAGATCCGATGACAGCCTCTTTTCAGCAAGTATAAAACTAAACTGGTCTGTTTAACAGGAATCATGATACTGGCTTCCCAGGCTTTTTATCTGTCACCATAGTTTTTTTGAAAGCTGGAAGCTAAATTATACGAATAAGCATATTAATAACTAAAAGTTAATTGTGAGCTAGAGAATTTGTGAAAGAAAGAATCATCTAGTTAATATGCATATTCGTATAATTCAGTTTTGCAGCTCTGGAGGAACATTCTTTGACATGAAGAGGAGGAACGGGGAGAATTCTTTACCATGGTTCTTGGCTGGCAGATTGGAATGCTGCTTAACTCAGTAGAGATGGATACAATCTATTTGTGATTCCTTGTAAATATCCGATCTACAGGGGCAATGATTATCAGGTAAATACCTCTTGCTCAGATTTTCTTATTTTACTGTCTAAAGGGCTAAATTTTCAGCGTTGCATTCATTTCCTGCAGCAGATGTTTTCAGCCTTCTAATTTGACTCTTTCTCTAAACACCTAGGGGTAAACAGTGTCAAACTAGAGGTGGCTGTAGTGACAGTGGTATTCTGAAATGTCTTCTTTTTGACTCAAATCTTTGTGGGGACAGAAGAAAAGTTAGGAGTAGAGGAGGAGACACCTCCCAGGCATCTCTCTGGGATAATGACTAGTCAGAAGCAACTGCCCAGCTAGCCTGAGAAGTGAAGTTAGCATACTGCCTGTTTCAGAAACTCCGTCTTGGATGTGAGAAACTTTACTGCAACATCTTTCACTAAAACTTTGATATTTTGATGTTGAAAAGTCTTGACACCCTTTCTTTTCTACACTACAGAAACTGTGGGAACTGTTGGAACATAATGCCATTAGTTTCTTTGTCATCACCCAAATGTAGTTGACAGGTAACAGCAAATCTGTTTGCTGTAGTCTCAGATGCCACACAGGAAATCCAAATACGTTTTGACTTTGTCAGTGCATGCCATAATGATTGTAGCATCGAAGCGACATTACTAACTGACATTTAGAATCTCACTTCAGGAAAAAATCTTCAGGAAAAACATACTTGATTTTGCAAATAGGACAAAAAGTTATAATTCTAAGTCAGAACCTTCAAACTTTTCATGGGTCAACTGGATCTTTTACTGTTCATTAAGGAATGCCATCTGTTCTAGTCCCATGTAAGCTGCATATTTCACAGGCCTTACAGGGTGTAATACGTAGTGCTTCTAAAATGGATGGTTACATCTCAGACAGTCTGGAAGAGATGGAAGCTGTTAATGATTTTCTTCATGATTGTGAGTGCAGGTGTCTTGTCATCTGCGAGACAGAGGGAAACCATGAAACCTTAAGGTTGACATAGTTAGCGGGGATAATATATATTATTTAACTATCGAAGTATGTGGATTCTAAATATTAGTGACTTTGTTTTTTTTCTGCCTAAACTTTTTTTTGCCAAAGTTTAACCCCTGTACTTATTGTTCCACCCGTGGGCGACTTGATAAATATGGGAAAAACATTATTTCCTGATTTTGCAGCAGCATTTTATGTACTCGAATCCGGGTGTCATTTCCTTTTAGCCTTCTCTTTCTCCACATTAAATGCCAGTTTGTTCACTTTTTTCCCCTGTCATCCATATTTTTTATACTTCTGACCATTCTTGTCATTCTTTGTGTTCTGTCATGTTGACTTATGTTTTTCTGAGACTGTGGTGCCTATAATTGAATACAAGCCTCTAGTTGAGGCCATCCTTGTGCTTAATAGGGAGGAATTAATTTGACATGTCTTAAGGCTAATACCTCTGTTTATATATCTCAGTATAATTGCCATTTGCAAGACAGAATACTACTAATTCAGCTTTTAGTCTCTTGCTGCCTCTGTATCTTTTTCTCTAATTATCTACCAGTGTGTGTTTGTATAATTGCTTATTCCTTCTTAAGCGTAGAACTTTTTACACTGAACTGCACACTGTTTTTTCCAGCCCATTCTTAACATTAAGGATAACACTGAATTCTTAAACTACCATCACAGTCTGTATCCCTGCTACTAAATTCACAGATGTCACAAAAATAAGAATATTCTGATAGGAAATATAGGGAAAATAAATAAATTCTCTTATACCTAAACCAGACCCTGCAGATCCTCCTGAATATATTCTTCCATTTTGTTAGTGAAACACTAACTCCTCTGAACCTGGTTTTGAAAGAGGTTCCTCTTCTGTTTTATAGAAGTTACATCTACCCCATGTTTTTTGAGTTCCTCCGTGAGAACAAGACAAACCAAGACAAAAACCAGCATCAAAAGATGTGATATTTCCTGCTCCTCCCAATTCTGTGAAGCCTATTTCATCACCAAAACCAAATGATTAGTTGAACACCGTTGTTACTGAGTGACAGTCAGTATGATTTTGTTGTATCTTTTTTGCTTGTACATGCCTAGAGGCAGTTCTTGTGGTTTGGTCCTGTATTTCTAGGTATTAAAATCTAAGCTGATCAGTGTAACTCCTTGGCTCTCCCTTCCTCTCTTTTAGAAAATGTGGTGTGTCTCTCTCTCTTCCTGACGTGTTTTGGAATGTTCCTTGTCCTCTGAAAGGCAGTCTCTGAGCATGTTGGCACTCGGTCAAGCCTGAGTAGCTGAAGAAGGCTGCCACCCAGGCCTGGTGATAGCCACTAGGGTCAGGGAGGTGTGTGTTTGGGGCTCTTCCCACTCACCCACTCTTCCAGATGGTGTTTAGGATCTGAACCAATACAGGATGATACACATTGCCACTTTTCCTTCAGCTGAAGTGATGGGTGGAGGGAGATGGTGGCAAGTAGGGAGACTTTGATTAGTACAGATGGTGTGAAGGTTGTGCAGACCATAGATACTAAGTGCTTGTAGTTACCTTGGATCCATTAGGGCTTATAACTCTTGGCTCAGTAGCAGTGCTGAGGACCTGAGCTGCTCCTGCTGTGCTGAGTGCTCTGCCATCTCTGCACCATGTTCTCCAGTGTCCTCTTTCCACAGGGGGTTGTTAGCTCCACAAAGCTGCGGAGAGTGCATGGATCTGGCTCAGTTTTGGCACCTTATCAAGGAAATGTCCTCGTGAATCCTGCAGTGCTGAGTTAACCAAGCACGGGTGCCCAAGTGATTCACCTTGTTTTCGCAGTGCTGTGCCTTAGCTAGTGAGTGTACTTAAGACAGATAATCTGCAAGAGACACTTTCAAATGGCAGGCACCAGTTTCACGTTTATGACTTTTTCTTTTCTGGAAAAATCTTTCCTGTTGCCTGCCTCTTGCTTTAATCCTAGCAGTCATACTGCTGTCGCACTCTGCCATTATTCTGAGAAGGAAAACACAACCATCTTCCTTTATTTTGTGGCGCTCTTAACCACTTACTCAGAATTCAGACAATGTGCTGGCCAGGCACGTGTAGCTGTCTGCTTCCCTTGCCCAGTCACCTGTGTGCTGTTGCATCTGCTGATGCCCACATGAATAATATGGGATAAATGGTGCACTGAAAGTCTATGGAGCTAAAGGTAGTTAAGGTTATGAACTAGTGTGTTTCTTTAGGTTGTACTATTCTCGGAACACGATTTGGTGATGCAGCTGAGCCAATCTTAACTAGATGCAGGCTGTACTGAAAACTGCAGTCCTGCTTTCCCTGCACTCCTTGTGTTCCTTCTACTTCCTTTGTGCTGGCACTACTGCTAACTCATCCTATGGTGAGCTAGTTTAGGATCCTAATTCGGCAGAAAATTACTAATTTATGATGTTATTTTTGCCAGCTTATTTCCTAGACTTGCTCAAGAGTAGAACAGATAGTGCTATGGTGTGTGGAAAGGGAAAGGAGCAAAAAGGCTCCTTTCACCAGTAGTATGCAGCTAGATTTGTTAAGGCAAGTTTCAAGCATTTTAGAGAACAGGTATGAAATACTTGTATGTTCATTTGCAGGATTCATAGCTCAACAGGTGGAACGTCATGCGTTGATCTTCTTAGTCTGCATGGAGAATTTATTTGAGATGCTGCTGAAATAAGTCTGGTCAATTTAGGCTATCTGTAGAAGTCTTTAATTATACAGCTTTGTAGACTTGATGGCTTTAATGTGTTCTGTTTTGCAGAATCTGTTTTTATTCCACTCGGCATCAAACTTTTTCTGGAATACAGAAGTTATTTGAGAGTTTTATTTTTGGTATTTTATTGATCTCTGCTTGGGCTTTTCTGTGGCATTCAGGATAGCACCTCCACTTTAGTAACCTGTTTTAGATTCAGAATAAAATTATGCAAGTATATTTTTACACAAATATTTTGTTACAAACCAACTATTTTCTCTTTTGTTAAGAAGTTTGTCCTGAGAACCCTTTAAGAGGGTCCTGAGAACTCAGAACCCTTTGTTTGCTGCTGCATAAGTACATTCATTCTTTCAATTGTTTTCCCTACAGTGTAAGTTTAAATTTTGAGACAAATAACATGGTAGATGACCTAGGTGGAGATGAAATCCATGTAATTGAACTTCTTGTACTGGAATTACCATCTAGGTCTGATAAAATTAACATATTTAATTGAAAACATTCATCTCAAAGATTTGCAGGGAGAAAAGTAGGACTTAATGTCTTAATCTGCTGAGTTTTTGTTTTAAAAAAACGAGTAAAAACGTCATGTCTAAAGATGTTTCCCATCTAAAGTCTTTCCCAAAGACTTTAGTTCGCTAATTACCAAGCTATTTATGTTTATCTCACATTAGATCTCTCCTGTCAGTGAGCAGCTCTTTCCATGAATCAAAGAAAGCACAGAATTGTTGGTCTAGAAATACTATTTATGTATTAAAAAATTTTATTTAACATTTCATAGGTCAATTTTGTCCTTAGTTTCCAGTTTACTTATTTTGAGGCCATACTTCTTGACACACTTAAAAATGGTGTCACAAAGGTTTCTGCTAGAAAGAATTTTGTGATCTTTAACGTGCAGTGATTTGCTCCAGGCTTATAATACTGTTTCGGTTCAGATTCTCTGACATAGAGAACTGACATACTAAGACATAGATGTCTTATAGTACCTTATAATTATATAATATTTTGTGTAATAAGGATGATTAATTTGGTCCCTGCAAATTCCATATGTGACAATTCTACTATTATATGCTTGATACTAGTATACTTTCTTTTTAAATGAAACATTTTTGTTACAAATGAAAAGTGAGTCAGACTGATGCTGTAGCTTGACATGGGAATTTTCTTGAGAGTATTAGCTAAACAGTGCCTGTCCCTTACCAATTACCTAGTTTTAATTTTTTCTTTAATTATTATTTTATTACAACCACCCTCCCCCCCCAACTCCTTTCAGTTCCTGGATTCATCATATGGCTCACCAGTGTGTTTACTGGGAAAGCTCAACTGATGTATCTTGGTATTTGAGGGTAAATCTTTAAGGAATATTTAAGCTGGTATTGCTTGTGAGGGTCAAGTTGTAAAAACAGACTTAATCTTGTATTGACATGTTCTGATGTGCTTTTATGAAGGCTTAAATATTAATTTTTTTTTAATTTTTTTTTTTAATTTAGGGTGCAATTTTCTTGGAAGGAATAACAGTTAAATGTGTGACCCAGGTGACAACACAACCAAAGTTAGGAGGAATACAGCAAAAATGTCAGCAGTTCTGTGGCTGGGGAGGGGATGAGAACATTTAGAACTTGTTTGTTTATGCTGTCTAGAAATAAGTGTTACGTTTCTAGTTTTGCAGAAGGAAACAGCTTGTAAAAATGAAAAAAGGTGGCTATTTTTGGATGGATTGTTTAAAAAAAAAAACAAACAAGCTTCAAAAATGCTCATCAGTGAAACAGATGAGGATCTTGCATTGTACTATGAAATGGAATTACCAACTGTTGATACTAAGAAGCAAGATTCTAGAATTGCTTTTCCAGTGAGATAACAAAATGTTTTCAGATGAGTTGTTGCTGTGCATATTCCAGATGTAGTCTAGTCCAGGTACTTGAGTAAAAGTTAGTGCTTGCTCAAGCAGTGGACTTATTTATACAACTGCTATTACACTTCATTATTGAGGTATAATACTTGTTTTTAGAGCCAACTTGGATATGTGTCCAATGTTAATGAGAATGTTGATTTTAATGTCTCAGATTCTGAACTCCTCCTTTCCAAAGCTGATGATCCAGGGAGTTGCTCACAATGATTCCTAACTTACTGATATTATTTATAGTTCTTTTAGTGCTTGTAATTTTGAATTCAAATATCTCTTCCTCTAAAGTTAAAACTTTGAAGTCTCACATAATTTAATGTTTTGTCATAAACAAATAGCCTTGTTCTTATCAGATTGGTATTTTGCAAGAGGAATTAAATGCCTTATTGGAGAAGATGTCCTAACTCAAAGTTAACCTTGCAGCAAGTCTGGTACAATGTGTGACTTCAGTCTAATGTAAAAAATGCATTGCCTTGTGTGACTATTTATTGTAGACCATTAATAAACCTGATTTTTTTTTCTTTTTTTTTTTAGGTCTGGATTCCCTGGAGCACAGCCCGTTTCCATGGACAAGCAAAATATTAAATTTTTAGAGCAGAAGCCATACAAAGTTAGCTGGAAAGCAGACGGCACTCGGTAAGTTCATTTTAAATGAAAAAGAAAAACCCAGTAAATTGGGTAGACGGTTTGTATTTTCTCAGGAAATTGAATTTACTTGTACAGAGGACAATGCATATTCTAACAACAAAACTGACTCCAGAGATCAATTTTCTTGCTGTCTTGGTACCCAACATTTGCTGAAGTTTGTAGCCAAGTTTCTTTTTAGCAGCTGTTCTGCAGACTGACTCTTAAATATGTGTACTTCTATTCTTCATAACCCTTGCCTGTCTGTCAGCCAAGACTTGCCACCAAGGTCTTAGAATAATCTTAGGTAACAGTGAGAATTTGTTAAGCTAAAGAATTTGTTTATAAAAGCTAAATTAAAACTTCTAGTTGATCCTTCAGAAACTGGCTAGTGTTATAAATGTCATAGATTTTTTTCTTTTTTTTTTTTTTTTTTTTTGTGTGCGTATTGTGGTCCTTTGTTCAAATACAGTTCTTGTCAGCCAGACAATCAATAGTTTCATCTCCCCTCACCAGTTCCCTTACATTCATTGTAGATGTCACTTTTTTTAATAACAACTACAACCTGATTGGATTGATGTGTTGAACCTCTTCAGTATTGTTATTTCTGGTTTGAAACACATCCTTGTATTTAGTTTCTCCAGTATTCTCATGTTAGCTTTTCAAAGTAAGAGAAATGCCGTACATTATCAAATGCAGAATAGCGAAACACTTTTTTCTCTGTGCCTGGTTATAGATCAGTCTCAACTGTGTGAAACTCAGTTGTCTAAACATGTGCATCTGGTAACATCAGGTATCCTTTCATTGCTTTGTCTTGTATGAAAAAAGCTATGTCACGTAGGATCTCTTGCCTCTACACCCAGCAGCTTGGTTGAGGTACAGGAAGTATTTGCTATTCACATTGAAATAACCCCCCAAATATTAGGTGCCCCATTTCCTTGTACTCTTGCAAAGAGGTACTGTGACTTTTCGTACAACAAATCTTTCTTGAGTAAAATTCCAAACCTCCAAAATCATACTTACTTTCATAGGAGTGATATTTTTAATAGGTTGGAACATACGTGAAATTACAGCCATTTTCTTGAGGTTTTGAAATGAACATTAATGGCGATTGATACTCTAACCTTCTGGTTTTCTTCAGCATTTCTGGTTTCAAAACTAAAATCAAGAATCCCAGGGATAAATGGAAATGATTTTAACCTATGCTACTCATAGCATTCAGATCACAATCTTCCGTTTTGTTGTGGGTGCTATCTTGAGGTCATTAATAATGTAATTTCTTACATCATGGTCAATAATGTATCAGTAACAGGAAGAATTTAAATTGTGTGACACATCTTATTCTTTTCAATAGCTTGATTTTTAGTTCCAAAAGATGTTCTTTAAGTACAGTAGTATTTAAGCAATTGTAATCTGTGCTAAGTGGGACGACTTTAGTTTTTATTCACTTAGAGCAAATGAATAGATTTTTAATCTGCTTTGACTTGATCAGAAAAAGTGCAATTACACTGAATGTACACATGGTAAGAGGAGGACTGTTATGCTTATTTGTGCATGGTGCTTTAGACTAGCAAAAGAGTTCGGCATTTACACATGTACAAGTTGGAAGGCATCAGTTCTGTGGAAGAAATGTATGCTTTCAAAAACAGAAGAATTTTTGTTTTCAGGCTGGTGAAGTTAAAATACTGGTTTTGTGTGTAGATACGGGCAAAAGGAGTTTTGTTTCAGCAGTGTAATGGAAAGCGTTCTCCCTTCCATGCGCTGAGAAGAAAGTAAAGTTTTGATACTAAATAAACCATGTAGGCTGTCTTCTAAAGTTTTTCCTGTGTTCTTTATTTTGTTAGGTTTGTTATCTTTAGTGATAGAATGAAGTATCCCTAGATAATGAAAAGCATGGAAAATATGGGCAATTGGGTGTCTTACGAGAACTACGAAGTGGCTACACATAGAGTCAGGCAGGATTCAGCACAGTTCAGCCAGAACTAAGCTGTCTCCTATGGGGGAAAAAAAAAAACCAAAACAAAACCAAAAAACCCCACCAAACAACCAACCCAAAATCTTCAGGTGTCACTCATCTGTGGAGTTTGTACTTCAAGGGTTTATTAGCTTGGGCAGAGCATGGTGTGAAAATACAAGGTAAGCTTGCACTCAGTATGGCATCCAAGCATTACAAAACGGGTGGGACTATTTGGGTTATTGACGTCGAGTGGCTGTATGCACAAGCACGTTACGCGATGCAGGCGTTCTCAGGGTGCGAGGTTACAGAAATGTGGTGTTGGGAGATCCAGGCCTGTTCTCAGAGCAGTACAGTGCATTGAAAAGCTGCTGAGCCTGAACAAGTAAACTCAGCCAACTTAAACTGACCGTGCAAAGAGCCAGATGGAAGTCTTTGCATTTATTATGCTTTTAATCCGCATTCCAGGTATATTGCCCATGGACTTGTATAACTATGAAAATACATTTATGAAGTATTAATGTCCTATGCAGCTCAGATGTTGGTAATCCTTGCCTTTTTTCACAGCTTAGTCCTTCAGGAAGCCTTTGTTTTAGGGATTGGTTTACGCTAATATTTTTGTATGTATTAAAGACAGTTTATGGTAATGTTTTGATATAATTTAAGCCTATTGCTTCAAGAAATAGTAATAGCAGAAAATAATTCTGTTTTTAAAATAATTTCTTTACAGAAGGCCATTTGATAATAGGAAAAAATTACTTCATCTGCAGTGTCTGTAGTGTGCATTGCCACTGAAGAATAATCTGTTCAAAACCATGGGTCATTAGCTAATACAGATTGGTACATCTTAGAACAAATACTAAGATGCTGTAAGATTACAATTAGTGCTATTCAACAGAGCTGCAAGCTATTTTTCCACATTTCTTTTTTTGTTTGTATTTTCAATATGAAGAGTCTTTGTTGTATCTTACATTACTCATTTGGAAAATTGAAGTCTTATGGAATACTTTTATCTTCTTACTCAAATGTACAGAATACTAGAATAATTATATAGAAAATAGTAGTGCACCTGGAAGACTGCCTTTTGTGAAAGAAATTAAAGTGCACATGTAATTTCTTGTAGGAATTTTCAGTATTTTGGACATTCTATCCTGTGTTTTTAAAGTTCTGGAATGGTGACAAAACAGAAGGGATGAAGAATAAAACTGAGGGAACTAAATAGTTCTTTTAAATTTTCTCAAAACATAATAACTTGTGGTTGATTATGGAGATACACAGATTGATAGGTATATTCAGAGAAGAAAAGGGTGCTATAGAGATCCAGTGTTACGAAACTCAGCTGAAGGAATGTTGTGAAAGAGAGATTAATGATGAAAACCTCAGCTATTATTTGGACATTTAGACACTGTGCATGATAGCTACCCTAATCAACAATGAGAAATGACTATGACAGTTTTTACATTGGACCTGCTTCTAATTACTTTGTTGTTCTCCAACGATCCGGACTCCATATGCAATTAAACAGATTTTCATTAATTATTCCAAATGCTTGTGTTGACAGGCGTGACCTTCCTGAATTTAGTATTAAGACATCGGTTAGTGGAGATCCATTTATGGATCCCCTGCTTACTTTATCTGGAGATGAAACCCCTGTCATCAAATACCTCTGAAGATATTCTCTTAAATGTGGTTTAGATGCAGCAGTCTAGGAGTTAACTTATTACAATATTACTTGGCTTGCATACATTTGTTCTTGTTTTTTTTTTTCTGTTCTCTTTGCTTAGAAAAGCATTGCTGTTTCATTGACCTGTTTGTACTTACAGAAAAGCAGATGCTTAACTAATAACTGTATATTATACTTTCTCAGATAAATAAAACACTCTCATCTTGGTTAATAGCAATATTTGCTCAACTTAGCCAAACTTCTTAAATTTCACCACCTGCATTTTATTCCTGCAGCAGTAGTTTTCTCTAGAGGTTTCATGGCTGAAGCCTTTATTTGTCGATTGTCTTAACTGACATGTAGTGTCAGTAATTTCATTGAGGACTTTTACTTTTCTCTGAAGGCATTTGCTATTTCTAGATTTCAACTGATGCTGAACTTTCACCCTTCTGGTTTAAGAGCTGTGCTGTTGTTGGCTAGTTGGTTTATTTGTTGGTTTTCAGTGGTAGAACAGTGCATGTTTTCTTGACTTTCTTAGTATTGTTGTATTTTTCTACCTATAATTAAAAAAAAAAAGTATTTCCCTAAATGAAAGAGCATTATTTACCATCTTGTGTTGACTAAATAATGTGGAATTGGTAAGTTAAATTATTTGACAGTGATTCTATAAAATATTTTGGGGAAATTTATTGGAGTAGTATCTTAGACACTTTTGTAAACATGTGGGTTCTGAGTCTTGTTTCAATCAAAACTCATCGTCCTCCAGTGTCTTCAAGCCCTGAGTTCAAAATCTTTTGACTTACCCTTGCCTAGATTCACAGAGTTTGTGTGTACACCGTGGTCTTGCTTGTTCTGTGTCTGGTTTCCAGGTTTTTTTATTGTTCTTGCTCCAACTTTCCTTCTGGAGCATGTTCGCTTCAAAGGGAAATGCCGTGTGAACAAATACTTCTTCCCTCCTGTTTGTAAATGCCTATATGTAGAGATGTGTACATTTGCATCTCAGGTTTAGACAAATGAACTTTAAATTAAAAGAGTTTTGAAGCTCACTTAGCATTGGCTCTCTTTGGAAAAATATTCCCTTTGTGCCAGCTATTTGCGTATATGTAAATATTATATGCAATTCTATTTTGAGGAAAAACACCTCTAAAATCGTATTGCTTTAGATTATTATTATTATAAAAATAAATCACTTAATTCTGCCGCTATTCTGACTGGTTTGGTGTGAATTCTATCCTGTATATTTATTGGAACAGTTGTCAAACCTCTGATGTCTTAAAAATAATTTTAATGCTAATCTATTCATAAGGCACAGAAATCCAAAGGGCAAATTTCCCACTATTAAAATCATGCCTTTTGGCTTTGTTGATGTGGAAGATGCTTTGTATGTTAACAGTA